ACACCAAGACCTCCGCCAATCACAATTAGGGCCAACTACGCCCACACCAAGACCTCTGCCAATCACAATTAGGGCCAACTCCGCCCACACCAAGACCTCCACCAATCACAATTAGGCCCAACTCCGCCCACACCAAGACCTCCGCGAATCATGGGTAGGGCCAACTACGCCCACACCAAGACCTCCGCCAATCACAATTAGGGCCAACTCCGCCCACACCAAGACCTCTGCCAATCACAATTAGGCCCAACTCCGCCCACACCAAGACCTCCGCCAATCACAATTAGGGCCAACTCCGCCCACACCAAGACCTCTGCCAATAACAATTAGGGCCAACTACGCCCACACCAAATCCTCTGCCAATCACGGGTAGGGCCATCTCCGCCCATAGTACAACATACTGCAGAGACCCCTTCTTGCCCTAATTCAAGATGGCCGCCACAAGCTAAATGTACCTACACAAAATACCTAAAAATATTTCTGTTAATTTTGACAGAAAATGAGCTAAAATTTAATGTGGTAGTAGCTGAGAGTCATCATCAACACATGTGCCAAGCTCTAATGCAGGATTTTTGTCATTAACCTTTGGAAACAAGTCTGTCTGTTAGCAAAATATCTCGTGAACGTCTGGACAGATTTTAATAAAACTCTTAGAAAAAACAGTAGTCACAAAATGGCCACCAGAGCTGATCAAATACAAAAAGGCCACAACTAAGTCAATTTTACAGATACTGAGATGTCATTTGGTGTGGTAGTAGCTGAGAGTCATTCCCATCTCATAATCTGAGCACTCACAGATCACACAAGATCTTTGTTTTAAACGTTGGTGCGTAATGTGGTGAGCATCAAATTTAATTTCACGTTTTATCCGCCAGGGATCAAATGAGGAGATCTCCGATATATGACCTCTGCCTGGCGATACAGTTTATTCCCCAGGAGTTTGCAAATCTGCAAGTGACCCGGGAGGAATTTCTTTACATGAAGGCCATAATCCTACTCAACACAGGTAAAAGTCGATCACTCCCTTCCCTTTGATTTTATTACTTCTTAATCAACCACAGTCATGGCACAATGTTGCAATCAGAAAGCTGAAGCTTTGATGAGCACTGAGCTGAACCAAAAAGGAGTTCCAAACACGATCAGACCTTGAAAAGATTTATGTAGCAACTCCTATCAAGTTGTTTTTCTACATTAGCTGAAAATGTTTTTATAGACACTTTTTAAATAGTAACATGTTTCTTTTGAGTAAGTAGTTGTTGACAAAAAGAGCTACATAAGTGTCAAAGTGTCTTTTTTTAACATTATACTGTACTTTGCGTGTGCATGAGGCTTGGAGATGTTTATAGTTTGTTTCATTTCCTGTCTGCTCTCAGTGCCTCTTGAAGGACTCAAAAGTCAGGCTGCGTTTGAGGAAATGAGACAAAACTACATACGAGAACTTACCAGGGCTATCCACCTGAAGGAGAAGAGTGTGGTGGCCAGCTCCCAGCGCTTCTACCACCTCACCAAACTGATGGATGCCATGCATGATGTAGGCTGACAGAGAAGAGCAGATTGTTTTTAATAAGCACCAACGTTGATATAAATGTTTTTTTTCTCCTGACAGATAGTGAAAAAGGTCAACCTGTTCTGTCTGAGCACCTTCATCCAGGCGGATGCCTTGAAGGTGGAGTTTCCAGAGATGATGTCAGAGGTCATCGCCTCCCAACTTCCTAAAGTGTTGGCAGGCATGGTGAAACCTCTGCTATTCCACACAAAGTAAAGACATTTGGTCGGCCAGAGACTGGAGTCTTTCCCTGCAGGATACTGGATTCTTCACTGATGTAGTCACATGTCTAGACTTTGCTAAATGCCTTTGGTTCTTGGTGTCAAGCAGATTGAATATGTTTTTTTTTCTTTAACATTTAGGCGAGACCTATTGCAACTATTAAAAAAAATCAGAGGCACCAATGTAAAAAGCTACTTCTTGTGTATCAAACATTCGCCACTTTGCAACTTGTGTACAGATTAGTAGCAGAAATACAGTAAAAACATCAAAGATATTGATATTTTTGTATGGGAGCTACAAAAATAGAAAAAAAATCTAATAGAAATCAAATAAATCTTACATTTTTAGTGAAAAGGATATCAAAAAAGCAATTTAATTGAGATAACCTCATTTATTTATAGTAGCAGAAAAACTCTTCAGAAAGGAAATACTTGTTAGATATTTACAGATGAACTTGTACACTTTCTTTAAAATAAAAAAAAAATCACAACGGTCTGTGAGATAACTTGAAACTGCCAAAAAAAGAAAAAAGGGTTTGAAAATCAACTAATGGGAATTCACATATTGCTTCTAAATTGTAATTAAAGATAACATTACCATAACAAAATAAAATAAAGGAAACTAGCCATGACGGGGGAAAAAAGAAAAAGAAAAAAAAGTCTCATAACTTTAATATTTTGTTGCATAACTTTTTTAGGTGATCACGGCAATCAAGCAATTTTTGTATTTTGAGACGTCTGCAGCTGTTGACGGGTCTCAGGTTTGTTGGGCTTCGTTCACCAGACTATTTCAGCTCCTTCCACAGACGTTCAACAGATTATAGATCGGGGTTTTGAAGACCACTTCAGAACTGTCTAATGATTTGTTCTGAGCCTTTTTTTGGTGAATAGTTTTAGGTCCATACCTTGTTGGACGACCTGCGATTAAAACCAAGCTGACACTGGGTAGCACATTTTGTGGTTTGTCAATATGCATTAAAAAAAATTCCAGTCACTTTTTAAACAAAGTGTTTCAACAGTGTCCTTCCTTCCTTCTCAGTCATCTTCCACTCAGTCCACTTTGGCTCAAACAGTAACTGATGGTGCCCTTTGACACTGATGAACCTTGATCCTGGAGTTTAACTCTAATTTCTTTGAAAGTTGTTCTGAACTCTTTGATATCTGTTTCTTCTATTAGTTATTAATTTATTCTAAGTCCACATCCAGGGAGCTTGGCTCTAGTCTTGTGGCTGTTGGACTTCTGAACAACCTGCGCAGGTGTAGACACCGTTAATTTTAACATATTTCTAAGCTCCTAAAACAGCTGTCCTTAGTTTTCTGTGGTCCATGTTCAGTGTGGTACACCCTGATATCAAACAGCCCCGAGGCTCATTTTCACCTTTTAAACATAGAGACAGCCTGATTACATGATCGATGACACCTGGGATCCTAATTACAGGCCACGCCTTAGTTTAACTCATCCCTGTTGTCATACTGTATTGTTTTAATCTCTTCTGGAGCTGCCATCCTTTGTGTCAAGGCCAGTTTCACTAGGTTTTTTTTTTTTGTTTAAGAATTCTGTTGACCACAATACAAAAGCAATGACCACATTTTACGAATGATTTTCAGTAATGTTTTCCTTAATACTTTTCTTAGTTTCAAGTTGTACAAACAAATGAATCTGCATCTGTAAACTGAAAAAAAAAAAACCAACTAAATAAATCAATATTTACAACATAGAAACTGATTAAAAACTTGACTGTGATGTAAATGTAAACCAACTACGACAGCGGATTGTGGGAAACATTTTATTTTTCAACAGAGCATATTTTCTATATCTTAATCTGCTTTAATTTCAACAAAGACAGATAGTACTGAGACGTACACGAGAGATTTTATGTCAGCGACATTCGTGAAAATAAAACTTGCATTTCAGTTCTTTGCCACTCAGATAAGTAGTCACTGATATCTCGCCTCATAATCCCAGTTTGCCTACATATCGTTTCACCTGATTACTTTAAGGCAGGCGATAAGAGGTTTGAGATATACAGCTGATAAGTAGGAAAGATAAAATTTAAATTAAAACATGCCTTGATTAAAAGAATGTTTATTTTTTTAAATAAACAATGCAGTCTTTATGTTTGGCTATATGATGTGTGAGTAACTGCAAATGATCAGTCAGTACACAGAAATGTATGGCACAGATTTAATGATTCACTCTATATATTGATCTGTTTATATAAAGATACAGCAGATGTTTGCAAAGTAACAGACAGTCGACATGAAAAATGTGCAGAGTTTTACATATTCGGGCTATGATGATCATTTCCGCGGCACGCAAACACTTCAAATTCATTGACTGTAAGGGAGTAGTGGTCCGGCACCAGCGCTCAAGGCCACATCGCATTCTTCGACATGGACATAGACGTGGAAATGGAAAAAGAACACCGTGATCTTGGCAAGAGCGAGATGTCAAATCCACTCCCAAATACATTTTGGGCAACCAGAGAAATTTTAACTTTGCAGTTTCCTTTTCGTTTGTAATAAGTGAAGACCAAAAGCTTATGGATTTTTTTTTTTGTAAAAAAAAAAAAAAGAAAAATCAAACTGTATCAAGGTTCACTTTTTAGACAATTTTTGACTTTTCAGTGTGGAAATCTTGTGACAGAATGAATTAAGTATTAAATGTCTTCTTTACCACAGCATATAAAACTTGTGGAGTTGTCATTACTAGTACACCAGTGTACCAATAAGCACAGTACACACTACAGCAGAAATGAAGGAAAAAGCTACATCTAAAAAAAAAAAAAGGCAAACCAAAAACACTTTCATATGTAAAATATACAGTACAGCGGGTAAAATAAGTATTGAACACGTCAACATTTTTCTCAGTAAATATATTACTAGAGGTGCTAATGACATGAAATTTTCACCAGATGTCGGTAACAACCCAAGTGAGCCATACATACAAAGAAATCAAACCATAAATGTCCAGAAATTAAGTTATTTGTAATAATGTGGAATGGCACAGGGAAAAAGTATTGAACACACTTACTGAAATTTATCTAATACTTTGTACAAAAGCCTTTGTTGTCAATGACAGCTTCAAGACGCCTCCTGTATGGAGAAACTAGTGGCATGCATTGCTCAGGTGTGATTTTGGCCCATTCTTCCACACAAACAGTCTTCAAATCTTGAAGGTTTCGTGGACCTCTTCTATGAACTCTGATCTTTAGTTCTTTCCATAGATTTTCTGTTGGATTCAGGTCAGGTGATTGGCTGGGCCATTCCAGCAGCTTTAGTTTCTTTCTCTGAAACCAACTGAGAGTTTCCTTGACTTTGTGTTTGGGCTCATTGTCTTGCTGAAATGTCCAGCCACGTTTCATCTTCATCATCCTGGTAGATGGAAGCAGATTTTTATCAAGAATGTCTCTGTACATTTTTTCCACTCATCCTTCCTTCAATTATTTGAAGTTTGTCAGCACCATATGCTGAAAAACAGCCCCACACCATGATGTTCCCACCTCCAAACTTCACTGTTGGTATGGTGTTTTTGGGCTGATGTGCAGTGCCATTTGACCTCCAAACATGATGTGTATTCTGGCATCCAAACAGTTCAATGTTGGTCTCATCTGACCAGACTATATTCTCCCAGTATTACACAGGCTTGTTTAAATGTGCAGCAAACTTTAAAGGAGCTTCAACATGCTGTTTCTTCAGCAGTGGAGTCTTGTGTGGTGAGCGTGCATACAGGCCATGGTGGTTCAGTGCATTACTTATTGTTTTCTTTGAAACAAWCGTACCTGCTAATTCCAGGTCTTTCTGAAGCTCTCCACAAGTGGTCCTTGGCTCTTGGACAACTCTTCTGATCATTCTTTTCACTCCTCTGTCAGAAACCTTGTGAGGAGCACCTGGTCGTGGTTGGTTTATGGTGAAATGATGTTCTTTCCACTTCTGAATTATGGCCCCAACAGTGCTCACTGGAACCTTCAGAAGTTTAGACATTCTTCTGTAACCGATGCCATCATTATGCTTTGCAACAATAAGGTTGCGAAGGTCTTGAGAGAGCTCTTTACTTTTACCCATCATCAGATGGTTCTTGTGTGATACCTGGTCATCATTTGGGACTGAACCAGCTGATATTAACTTGCACTGACAAGGGGCAGGCTTGCTTTCTAATTACTGAGAGAGTTCAGCTGGTGTCTTGGCTTTCCATTACTTTTTACACCTCCCTTTCTTCATGTGTTCAATACTTTTTCCCTGTGCCATTCCACATTATTACAAATAACTTCATTTCTGGACATTTATGGTTTGATTTCTTTGTATGTATGGATCACTTGGGTTGTTACCAACATCTGGTGAAAATTTCATGTCATTAGCACCTCTAGTAATATATTTACTGAGAAAAATGTTGACGTGTTCAATACTTATTTTACCCGCTGTATCTGATGTGACATCGTGTTGTACTAAAGTAAAACAAGCAAATAACATTATACCCATTTACAGAAAGGAACTTCTGATTATTGTACAGTACAGTACTGTGGAGCGGCAAGTTCAGTGGATAAACAAAGATCAGTTTATAAAAACATTCAGGTGCAAACCAGTATTGCTTAAATTTTAATACAACCGCAATTCAGAAATTAAGTTGGGACATTGTGTAAAATGTTACGACGGAGTCGTAGGGCCACACAACTATTTTTTTCACTTTTATTTTTAATTACGAATATAAAGTTAAATTTTTACGAGTTTAAAGTCATAATTTTACAAGATTAATGTTATAATATGATAAGAATAAAGTCATAATATGAAAAGATTAAAGTCAGTACTATAAGAATAAAGTCATAATATTACGAGAATAAAGTCAAACTTATAAGATTAAAGTTGAAACAATTGTTTCAAAGTCCTGCTTCTGATAATTTAATGCTAATGTGATAAAATATGACGTATTTCTTTTAAATGGTGTTAAAGAACAACTTCACAAGTTGCTCAACGTTCCTCATTTTAACGCAGTGGTATGACTGCTTTCTCCTGTAAAGGTTCTCGTAATATTACGACTTTATTTTCATAATATTATGACTTTTTTCTTGTAATATTATGACTTTAATCTCGAAATATTATAGCTTTTTCCTCGTAATATTACGACCATATTTATTATTAAAAATCGATGCAGTGCTTTTGAGAATCAAAATAGAATCAGGAAATTAAATATTGCAATATTTCAGTGAACCAATATTTTCTTACACCCCTATTGCCAATTAACCTAATCATTTATAAAATGCACCAACAGCTGTTTTGTACATTATATCCAGCTTTTTGTTTCCCCTGTCCAAACTTTTTGAGAAGTGTTGCTATCATATAATTTTAAATTACTTTATTGTTTAAAAAAATATATACAGTATATTTAGTTTCAATATTTGACACATTTAATAGGTTCCTTTGTAGATAAAAAGTATGAATTTATGAGAATTGCAAATGATTGCATTCTGGTGTTAATTTACATTAGACACAACGTCCCAACTTTTTTTTTTAAATTAGGGTTGTAGAACAGATTGCATTTCTTATCTGAAATCACAGCTTGTTCAGTGACACTAAGTAAAAATGTTCACCACGCAACACATTTTTTGATAAAGGCTGATAAAACAGGAAGTTCAGAGGCGATATGGTATGTCTGAAAATAAAACAACTCTAACAGGCGATGTTTCTTTTCTGACTTTGTAGGGTAATCAGATAAATCAGTGCAGTGATCTGTTTTTTATATTTATATTTTACAGTAATCTCTACTGTATTTCCTCTTAATATCTGCAGGTCCCCCCAACCATATCATAATTTAAACACTGGCCTCCTAAATATCTGGTGAAAATGCCATATTGTTACAGTTATAAAGGTGTATTTTTCCATGGATGCCATGAAAAAAAGGTAAGCGTACCATCTGCTACAGGAAAAGAACATAATTCTCTGGGATTAAACCTGTTTTCCCCTCGTATGTTGCTTGGAGCCAGCCTGGTTCCACGGAGGGGTAGACTAAAAGAAAAAAAAAAAAAACAGAAAAGGAGAGAAAAACATCCTTAAGTCTCAGAGAAGAGAAACCCAGGAACCTGTATACGCTAAGGAGAAATACTATGTGTTAGCCCACATTAGTTCAAAATGGAACACATATTGCTAATCCAGGGTCAGATTGATCTTGAAGTCAGCTCAGCAAGGGGAAAAAAACAAAAACTGGTAGGGTAATGACTTGATAAAATGTGATTTTACAGAAGGAATATCTAAAAAAAAGATTTATAATACAATCTACCTCACATCTGCTGAATAAGGACAAAGAGGAAAATGGCCTGCAAACGTGGAGAGTAATAAAAGCAATCTGCCTGCTTGTAAATGGAAGGGAGCATTTGTTGATGTTTCTGTATTAGGCTGCAGGCTCTGTGGCTGTGTTAACAGGCACTGGTGCCTTCCATCACTAGGTTACAGTGACCTGACTGCACTGGTTATGGGCCAAGTCATCTCCACATAAAGGAAAAAAAAAGCATAAGTCAAATAATAATAATGAAACAAAGCCTCTTGAGGTCTAAATTTTAACAGTGTATGAAGGTAAAATAATTCCGGACCTCATCTAAACTCTGATAAAAGTATCTCCTGTAAGCTGTTAGAATACTAAAGACACATAACTCAGATTGTGCACAAGAAAAAAATGTCAAGTGAAGAACAGCTCCTCTCTGATTGATTGCTTACCATTAGTGAAGTGCGCCCCCTGGGGGAAGCTGAGCTCATTGCTGTGCTCTGCCTCACAGGAGTACATTGCCTTGGCATCTCTACAAAGTCAGCAAAAATAAATAAAATAAAATAAAAAATAAAAAGGTAATGTCAATGCAGGTTTTAAAAGAGACAAGTGAGACTCATTGAGCTGTTTTTACAGAACCTTCCAACTTGTGCAGGCTGTAGGGAGAGGGGGTTTTCAAAGATCAGTGCTCTGGCAGCAACCCTGAAACAACGACAAACAGAGCTTACTCAAATTCATGTGAGAGAGACATCAGATTCACTTTAAAGCTTCTCATTATAATGTAAGAAACAAAATCTGACACTTAATTTGTCCTTGAATAATGAATTGTAAGAAAAAAAAAGATTTACTCTTTGCTGTATCCTAACTTGTTCTAGGGCCCCCATAATAGATCACCTTTAAATTCTTCTTTATTTTTTCTTTAGCAGCAGATTTAATCTTATATTTTACAACCTACATGTCTTATCTGAGATTATACTCTTGTCTACTTCCGTTATATTTGTTTACAGAATACTTCCAGCCTAATGTAGGTCAGTTATATAAGTAATTCACCAGACTTGGCTGAGTGCTTTGTTTACAGTAATTGTGTACCTGCATTTCAATATATGGAACACTACTGAAGAAAACCCAAACTGCACCATTTCATACAGTTCAGGATGACCTTTTTTAGTTTGACTTCATAATTCGCAATTATGGAGGACCGAACCTGACAAAATTACAAATAAAAGCAGAAATATACATGCATAAATAAATAAATAAATACACTTAAAATGCACCAATTAAATTAAAAAAACAACTTTACCTCATCTTTTATCATTTAATGGATCTTCTTATTTATTTTTCCAGATTTCTTTTAATAAATTGTATATTTTAGCACATAATGTACATTTTACTGTTTTTGAAAAATATATATTTTTTGTTTTTCCTTTTACTTGTACATTCAGTTGTGTCTCTTAAATGATTATATTTAATTTTTTAAAATAACTTTTTATTACCATATGTTGTTTTTACATTTCTCTGTCTCCTGTTTAAACTGTACCTTGTGCATTTCTGCCTCATTATGTAAATAAGGTGGGCGGTCCTTCCTGGCTCAGCTCCTCTCCTATTGGCCAACGGACAGGAAGGAGGAGGATCCATGTGCAGATGTACAAGTAAGTGTTTTCCTCCTTGCCTTTGTTTTTAACTAATCTTTAAACATGTAAATATTTAGACGTGTGAAAAAAAAAACAATTATATAAACATTTAAGCGACACAAATGCACAAGTAAAAGAAAAAAACAAAAGAGAAAATGTATATTAAAAACAGTTAAGAGTAAATTATGTACTAAAATATATATTTTATTTAAACTAAACTGGGAAAATAAATATGAAGGTCTATTAAATTAAATAAAAAATAATAAAACATTAGGAAAAGTTCTCCTTTTTATTTATTTGGTGCATTTTAAGTGTATTTATATATTTATAGGTCTATTTATATTTTTCTGCATTTATTTCTAATAATGACAGTTTCAGTCCTCCGTATACAATGAGTACCTTCAGCACAAAGACAGATCATAGTAACCAAATGAAAGTTAGAAACAACTGATAATTTGTCATCTATAAAACCAACAGTACTGACTCGTGGAAAAAACGTTATCGTCTCCAACCTTTCTTGGACCGAAACAAACTTGTCAGCCTTGCCAGCGTTATACATTGTTTTCAGAGAATTAAAAGGCGTGATGACACAATAAGGGAGGTTTCCTTCCTCCAGGCAGACTCGGCCCAGCGGTGCCGAACGGTGCCAGCTGTAGAACGTAGACGGCTCGACTCGGCGCACAACGACACCGGAGTCGAGGGCACAACAGAGACTAGGGCGAGCTGGGCGGGTGCTAAACAGGGGAGCCACTCTGAGAGCGTGTGAGTGGCTACTCTGACACGACGAGTCGAACAATCTATCGGTCCCGGGAGAGCGAGCGCAGACTGCTGCTGGGTCACATCAACCTCAGAGCAGGCAGAGCGTAATTAAAGGCAGCTCTCTCCCACCAGCACGCAGAGACATAAATCTCCAAACACATACTCATCTGATTTTAGAAACCTCTCAGTGCTCATAAACAGACGACGGAGGAGGCTGACGACTCAGGAGGGAGGAAAACAGAAAGAATAGTTGCTAAGCTATCGTGCACGACACTCACTGGGCTGCAAATCTGCAGAGGCCCAATAAAATTAATATTGGCTCCATTTACACACAAATATGCTATGATATTCAGTGCTTATTAATACTGAATGCCTTCTGTTTAATAGCTGATAAATTATATTGTATAGGATAAATCCAATTATCTTAAACAAAACATGAATCACTTCCTGTCAAATAACAGATAAAAACTTTAAAGGGAACCCCGATTAGTTGTAACATCAGACTTTATTTGATAAACAAATATTTTAACTGTAAAATAACGACTTTAAAAATACTGTAGGCTGTTTAGTTTTGTAATTTTTTTAAAATATATTTTAACACGGATGGAGCCATTTTATTTACACATGAAGCATTCTGGGTAAATGATGACGTGGATAGGTCCTCGGTGCGAGGCTGCTAGCGAGCTATATCCACCCTGAAGGTTAATCTTGGACAATATCTGATGATCGACTCTTTTAAATGAAACCAGAGAGCGTTGACAGAGAGGAGAAGGTAGAAATGACTCAGCCTGGAACTGAAAATATGGATGGAGGACAACAGAGCTGCTTCATGGAAGAAGAACCTCAGCTTAGCCTGTTAGCCTTCACGCTAGCGCCAACACTATATTGCCTTATATGTATTAGCTCGGCGCTAGCGCGACAAACACACAAGCTAAACTGAGGTCCTCCATCCATATTTTCAGTTACAGACTGAGTCATTTCTACCTTCTCCTCTCTGTCAACGCTCTCTGGTTTCATTTAAAAGAGTCGATCATCAGATATTGTCCAAGATTAACCTTCAGGGTGGATATAGCTCGCTAGCAGCCTCGCACCGAGGACCTATCCAGGTTATCATTTACCCAGAATGCTTTGCGTGTAAATAAAATGGCTCAGTCTGTGTAATATATTTTTAAACTAAAAGTTTAAAAATATATTACACAGTACTACAGTATTTTTACAGTCTTTATTTTACCGTTAAAATATATGTTTATTAAATAAAGTCTAATGTTACAACTAATCGTGGATCCCTTTAAAAATTAAAGGTCTAGCATTCCTTGAACAAACCCATAGCCCCCGCTGACTTTTTATTCCAGAGTTTCAAACTAAAATCATCCCATGTAGAGAAAAAGCATCTACAAGTTCATGAGATATTCTGCTAACAGACACCTAAAAAGAGATACAAACAAAAATATTGTTGTGTGTCTGCGGCTTTAGACAGCAGGTGATAAATATCCAGATATTTATGCAAAACAATAACTTAGAATAAAACTTCAAATTCATTAAAGTAGCTGAAATTATATTTAACATCCTCTGATGTTTCAGTCATTTCTAATGAAGTAGAGCTTTGTAAACGTCCTTACACTGATCCTGGTCTTTGGTAGCCGTTGTTGGCGGACCCGTCCATCCTGCGGCGGATCACTACTTTGGGTGGTAGATCTGGGTGCTCTGAAGGTTTTAGACTCTCTTTGTTCTCCAGTGTTAATAAGTTTTGAACAGATCCAGAGCTGCTCCTGTGGCCTTGAGGGTGACAAACGCACAATAACTAACGGCTCCTTGTAAACGACACAAAGAGACGACAGCTCTGATCCTAAAACAGCTCACTATAACTCGTGAAATGAGACGTGGAAACAATGTTTTCATGCTGTTTCAAATGTGACCCGGTCATATGAGAGCTGTAAAACTTTAAAAGTCTTTGAAGATTTGATCAAAACATCACAACAACCAAGTTCCGGTACCGTCAACGCAACAAAATCCTTCCTACCTTCAGATATGTGCAGGGATTTGAGCGAGGGAGAAGCAGAGCGGGTCAGCAGCGCTGACTTGAGGTCAGTGTTGAAATGGGGGGCTTTCCTTGGAGCAGGAGACAGTCTGGGTGTGGTGCTGACTGAGGACAGGCTGAGAGCGTCCTCTGACTCTGCATCTGTTCGCCCCGCATCCTCCCTGGAGCTGGACTCAGGGTTGCTAACACACACTGTGCTTCTGGGGCCGTTTGAGAGCTGAGATGGCGTCCGGGGCAGGAGGTCCGACTTGCTTTGACCCGTCTTCTGCCTGGAGGAAGCTGCTTTGGACGAGGCATTCTGCTCCGAGGAGTGGGAGGACAGAGACTCCATGCTGCCCATAGGGGTACTGCTGGGACTGCTGCTTAAAGTGTCACCTATGCAGGGATCAGAAGGAAGGCATGCAAGGCCCTCATTAAAACCTACCTTGTTGACATTATATCTAAACAAACACATAAAGAAAACACTGAGTGCTGAACGACTGCTGAAATTTGTTGAAGAAGCTGAAACTTGTCAAAGTTAAATTACACAAAACACATATTAAAGCAGAACAAAAGTTAAAACGCAACAGAAATGATCAGAACACAAACTAATTTGATGAAAGCTATAAATGCTCAAATTAGCTGAAATATAAAATCAACAAAAGATTAGCTAAATTTAAACCATAGCTAAATGGTTAACTTAAAACATAGTTTCAAGCCAAAGTTAGCTAATAATGGCTAAAATTAGCCAAACAACAGCCAAAATTAGTTGAACAGTAGCTAAAAGCTCAAATGAGCAATACAGTAGCTACAAACAAAAAACAAACAAACAAAAAATAAATAAATAAATCCCAAAACCAGTTTTAAAAAGCTAATATTGCAAATGTGTAGCCAAAAAGCTACATTTTGCACAACTAAAGCCTAAAATTAGCAAAACATCAGCTAAAATTAGTTGCACAGTAGCTAAAAGCTCAAATGAGCAATACAGTAGCTAAAAACAAAAAACAAACAGAAAATAAATAAATAAATCCCAAAACCAATTTTAAAAAGCTAATATTGCAAATTTGTAGCCAAAAAGCTACATTTTTCTAAAATTAGCAAAACATCAGCTAAAATTTGTTGAGCAGTAAATAAAAGCTAAAATGAGCAATACAGTAGCTAAAAACAAACAAACAAACAAACAAACCAGTTTTAAAAAGCTAATGCAAATTTTAGCCAAAAAGCTACCTTTTGCATAACAAAAGCTTTAAATAAGCTAAACATCAGCTAAAATTAAAGGTCCAAATTAAAACAAGTAAGCATATTTCAATAAGAAACAATGTTTTAAAGGAAATTATAACATCCATGAATTTCTATTGGGGAAAATTTTAAACATATATGTTTAAAATTTTATATATGTTTAAAATTTAGTTACATAATTTCAGTTGTATAAAGTTACCCAAGATCATTGCATGATTTTCCTGATGGAGCCAAATGTTTTGATATCTGAGTGGTTAAAGTAACACAAAGTGTGCAGATGTAGCTTGATTGCTAAAAATGTATGAAAGAGAATATAAACAAATGTAAAAAAAAATAAAAGAAAATGTAATTAAATGAAATCCGACCTGCGGCAGCATGTTTTGGCCTTGGTACTCACTTTCTGCATCAGCCAGGCACAGAGTTGGAGTGTAGAGACTGCGGGGTTTGCGAGGCCCCTTGGACATACAAATGGCTCGGCTCCTGCGGGAGCTGAGCCTGCTCTGCGGCTGTGGCAGCGGCACGTTGGGATCCGGGGGCTGGTGGAAGACCTGCAGGTCCAGACAGAAACCCTATTGATGTCGTTCGAAAACAGGGACTGCAAGTCCAGGACAAATCAACTGATTGCAAAGTGTGTAAAACGTCACATTAAAATATGGGAACACCATCTGTTAGTGCTGCAGAATAATACTGTGGAAGAAAAATATAGATAGATTTTGATGAGAGCGCACAACAACAAAATTGCGAATATAATAAAATCAGAAATATAAAAAGCCAAAATGGTTGATTATGAACCACAAGTGAGGTTGCTGGAGCCTTTCAGGAAAACAGCCCAAATAAAGCGCCTTCAGCAGCAACTCTATGTTAAATGTTTTACACAGCCCACTTTATCAGCTGAGGCTATGTTCAGCATGTTGTCCTGGAAGATACTGCAGGTGGTGCCAGGTTGAGACAGATGGCTGTTATCTGCAGGCCTCTTTCTGCCAGAAGTTTCTCCTCTCCCATTAAACATTTTATTCCCCTCCCAACACCACCACTCTCACCAAGTCCTTTCTCAAATGGAATTGTTGGATTTCTCTTCATGGAAAGTGCACTCAGACCATTTTTTAAATTTACATTTTTATATATTTTGTGAAATGATGCAGTGAAAATTAAACAAAATTCAACTAAAACGTAAATATGTTTAAAAAATTGTCTCTGAAACCAAAATAAAACCATCCGTAGAAACAACGGTTGAATCAGTTTTCCAATAAAGCCTTAAAGTGAAAGATATGCGTTCAGAGTACGAGCCCAAAGGAAAACAACGCCTCACCTTATCAAAGTTCTCGATGAGTATTTCCACAACAATGTTCTGGAACTTGATGTTCATCATAGCAGCGACAGTCTCCTCCTGCGAGCGCATCAGAGTGGGCCCAAAGATAACGCCCAGGTTCGACACCGTCATCAAGTTGGACTGGTTTTGTGCAGAAACTCTATATGTAAGAAAGCAAGAGGTGAAGAAAGTTTAATTAGTTTCAGCCCGATTTGTCTTCCTTGAGTCTGCTACCACACACACACACACACACACAAACTGCTGCAGGAAAACCGGTTCATTACAGAAACATACGTGACAAGATGTTTGATTAGTAACTCCAGCATTTCCCTGTTCCTCTCTGGTAGCTTGTGGACCAAAGCATGGACAGCACACACCCTGTAGTTCTGGTCATCCGACTCTGCGGAAAAAGAACAACGATAGAAATAAATCAGAGTAGCTTTCTTTGAAGGAACACGTGTCACCCGGCATTTTTTTAAACCCAAAATTTTACTATAATCTTCGGCTGTGTCCAAATTCAGAGGCTGGGTCCTTCGAAAGCCATCTTGAAGTGGTTTGACTCCAATTGTCAATCAGTTGTGGATGTACAGTCAATGAATTCTTTTTAGGTTTAGTTAGTTTGTTAACTGATTCATGAGAAACACACACACACACACACACACACACACACACACACACAC